GTATGTCTCATACACCTCTCCGTTTCTTCACTAAATAATACCAACACTTCATTATCAATAGCTTCTAGAATACTAAAATGTTAAAAACTTGGCTCTTGTGTTGAAATGTTTTTTTTATGTAATTGTTATATATGAGTGGCTCCAGGTAGGACCAGTGTATGGGTCAGTATCTCCAGGTGGGACCAGTGTATGGGTCAGTATATTACCACTCCAGGTGGGACCAGTGTATGGGTCAGTATATTAACACTCCAGGTAGGACCAGTGTATGGGTCAGTATATTACCACTCCAGGTGGGACCAGTGTATGGGTCAGTATATTAACACTCCCTGGTGGGACCAGTGTATGGGTCAGTATATTAACACTCCAGGTAGGACCAGTGTATGGGTCAGTATATTACCACTCCAGGTGGGACCAGTGTATGGGTCAGTATATTAACACTCCAGGTAGGACCAGTGTATGGGTCAGTATATTAACACTCCAGGTAGGACCAGTGTATGGGTCAGTATATTAACACTCCAGGTAGGACCAGTGTATGGGTCAGTATATTAACACTCCAGGTAGGACCAGTGTATGGGTCAGTATATTAACACTCCAGGTGGGACCAGTGTATGGGTCAGTATATTAACACTCCAGGTAGGACCAGTGTATGGGTCAGTATATTAACACTCCAGGTGGGACCAGTGTATGGGTCAGTATATTAACACTCCAGGTAGGACCAGTGTATGGGTCAGTATATTAACACTCCCTGTAGGTAGGACCAGTGTAGGTGGGACCAGTGTATGGGTCAGTATATTAACACTCCAGGTGGGACCAGTGTATGGGTCAGTATATTAACACTCCAGGTAGGACCAGTGTATGGGTCAGTATATTAACACTCCAGGTAGGACCAGTGTATGGGTCAGTATATTAACACTCCAGGTGGGACCAGTGTATGGGTCAGTATATTAACACTCCAGGTAGGACCAGTGTATGGGTCAGTATATTAACACTCCAGGTGGGACCAGTGTATGGGTCAGTATATTAACACTCCAGGTGGGACCAGTGTATGGGTCAGTATATTAACACTCCAGGTGGGACCAGTGTATGGGTCAGTATATTAACACTCCAGGTGGGACCAGTGTATGGGTCAGTATATTAACACTCCCTGTATGGGTCAGTATATTAACACTCCAGGTAGGACCAGTGTATGGGTCAGTATATTAACACTCCAGGTTGTTGTCTCCAGGTAGGACCAGTGTATGGGTCAGTATATTAACACTCCAGGTAGGACCAGTGTATGGGTCAGTATATTAACACTCCAGGTAGGACCAGTGTATGGGTCAGTATATTAACACTCCAGGTAGGACCAGTGTATGGGTCAGTATATTAACACTCCAGGTGGGACCAGTGTATGGGTCAGTATATTAACACTCCAGGTAGGACCAGTGTATGGGTCAGTATATTAACACACTCCAGGTAGGACCAGTGTATGGGTCAGTATATTAACACTCCAGGTAGGACCAGTGTATGGGTCAGTATATTAACACTCCAGGTGGGACCAGTGTATGGGTCAGTATATTAACACTCCCTGTATGGTTGTTGTCTCCAGGTGGGACCAGTGTATGGGTCAGTATATTAACACTCCAGGTAGGACCAGTGTATGGGTCAGTATATTAACACTCCAGGTGGGACCAGTGTATGGGTCAGTATATTAACACTCCAGGTATGACCAGTGTATGGGTCAGTATATTAACACTCCAGGTGGGACCAGTGTATGGGTCAGTATATTAACACTCCCTGTATGGTTGTTGTCTCCAGGTGGGACCAGTGTATGGGTCAGTATATTAACACTCCCTGTATGGTTGTTGTCTCCAGGTGGGACCAGTGTATGGGTCAGTATATTAACACTCCAGGTAGGACCAGTGTATGGGTCAGTGGCTCCAGGTAGGACCAGTGTATGGGTCAGTATATTAACACTCCAGGTGGGACCAGTGTATGGGTCAGTATATTAACACTCCAGGTGGGACCAGTGTATGGGTCAGTATATTAACACTCCAGGTGGGACCAGTGTATGGGTCAGTATATTAACACTCCAGGTAGGACCAGTGTATGGGTCAGTATATTAACACTCCAGGTAGGACCAGTGTATGGGTCAGTATATTAACACTCCAGGTAGGACCAGTGTATGGGTCAGTATATTAACACTCCCTGTATGGTTGTTGTCTCCAGGTGGGACCAGTGTATGGGTCAGTATATTAACACTCCAGGTAGGACCAGTGTATGGGTCAGTGGCTCCAGGTAGGACCAGTGTATGGGTCAGTATATTAACACTCCAGGTGGGACCAGTGTATGGGTCAGTATATTAACACTCCAGGTGGGACCAGTGTATGGGTCAGTATATTAACACTCCAGGTGGGACCAGTGTATGGGTCAGTATATTAACACTCCAGGTGGGACCAGTGTATGGGTCAGTATATTAACACTCCAGGTAGGACCAGTGTATGGGTCAGTATATTAACACTCCAGGTAGGACCAGTGTATGGGTCAGTATATTAACACTCCAGGTAGGACCAGTGTATGGGTCAGTATATTAACACTCCAGGTAGGACCAGTGTATGGGTCAGTATATTAACACTCCAGGTGGGACCAGTGTATGGGTCAGTATATTAACACTCCAGGTGGGACCAGTGTATGGGTCAGTATATTAACACTCCAGGTGGGACCAGTGTATGGGTCAGTATATTAACACTCCAGGTGGGACCAGTGTATGGGTCAGTATATTAACACTCCAGGTGGGACCAGTGTATGGGTCAGTATATTAACACTCCAGGTAGGACCAGTGTATGGGTCAGTATATTAACACTCCAGGTGGGACCAGTGTATGGGTCAGTATATTAACACTCCAGGTAGGACCAGTGTATGGGTCAGTATATTAACACTCCAGGTAGGACCAGTGTATGGGTCAGTATATTAACACTCCAGGTGGGACCAGTGTATGGGTCAGTATATTAACACTCCAGGTGGGACCAGTGTATGGGTCAGTATATTAACACTCCAGGTAGGACCAGTGTATGGGTCAGTATATTAACACTCCAGGTAGGACCAGTGTATGGGTCAGTATATTAACACTCCAGGTGGGACCAGTGTATGGGTCAGTATATTAACACTCCAGGTGGGACCAGTGTATGGGTCAGTATATTAACACTCCAGGTGGGACCAGTGTATGGGTCAGTATATTAACACTCCAGGTGGGACCAGTGTATGGGTCAGTATATTAACACTCCAGGTAGGACCAGTGTATGGGTCAGTATATTAACACTCCAGGTGGGACCAGTGTATGGGTCAGTATATTAACACTCCAGGTAGGACCAGTGTATGGGTCAGTATATTAACACTCCAGGTAGGACCAGTGTATGGGTCAGTGGCTCCAGGTAGGACCAGTGTATGGGTCAGTATATTAACACTCCAGGTAGGACCAGTGTATGGGTCAGTATATTAACACTCCAGGTGGGACCAGTGTATGGGTCAGTATATTAACACTCCAGGTGGGACCAGTGTATGGGTCAGTATATTAACACTCCAGGTGGGACCAGTGTATGGGTCAGTATATTAACACTCCAGGTAGGACCAGTGTATGGGTCAGTATATTAACACTCCAGGTAGGACCAGTGTATGGGTCAGTATATTAACACTCCAGGTAGGACCAGTGTATGGGTCAGTGGCTCCAGGTAGGACCAGTGTATGGGTCAGTATATTAACACTCCAGGTGGGACCAGTGTATGGGTCAGTATATTAACACTCCAGGTAGGACCAGTGTATGGGTCAGTATATTAACACTCCCTGTATCGTTGTTGTTGTTGTTGTTATACAACATTGTCTTACGGCCACTTTGGCCCAGTAACCTGGTTCTTGCTGTTAATGGATCTGAAAATATCTTTGTATTTATCTAACCCGCCCAAGTTGGTGGTAAGTTTTCAACAACTGGCGCTGAGGCAGGTAGTGGTGCTGAGGATAAGAGGGGGGGGGGGTAATATACTATCACACCTTCACCTATATATAATTATATATATATATATATATTATATATATATATAAAGTGTTATTTACACATATTTACGAAATGTCGCTTTCACTCGGGACACAATACAGCGGCAGTGTTGTTCATCAATTCCGGTAGAGAACGCAGACGACTGTACAGGAGAAGGAAAAAAATAACGGAAATGCTGAGGCAGACACGACTATCACAAGAAAGGAAAATAAACCTAAACGGGCAGATCTAAGAAATGGAGCAAACGTTGAAGCGATCATACGAATCTGAGGAAATGGAACTGGAACAGAAAGCTATACAAGAGATAAAGAAATATCCAAAATATTTTTTCACGTACGCAACATCAAAAACCTCCACCAGCATTGGACCTTTAATTACAACTGAAGGTACGTACACAGATGACAACAAAGAAATTAGTGAAATTCTAAGAAGCCAGTATGAGGCTATGTTTAGCACACCAATAAACAACATGAAAGTTGATGACCCAGACAGCTTCTTTATGAATGACATTCAAGCTGCAGATTGAACGGATATTAACACGAACTCGGAAGACTTTGAAAGAGAAATTGACAATAAGCCCATGCACTCAGCTCCTGGGCCTGACTCGTGGAATTCAATATTCATAAAGAAATGTAAAGTACCAGTAGCGAGAGCACTCAGCGTAATATGGAGAAAGAGCCTGGATACAGGGGAGATACCAGCAGTACTTAAATCTGCAGATATAGCTCTGCTGCACAAGGGGGGGGGGGAGTAAAGCCTTGGCAAAAAAAAAAAAAATTATAGACCGGTTGCACTAACATCACACACAAAAGATTTTGAAAGAGTGATTAGGAATCAAATTTCTAGTTTTATGGAAAATAATGAGCTACACAACCTAGGACAACATGGATTTAGAGCGGGAAGATCCTATCTGTCACAGTTACTCAACCACTGACAAAATCACAGAAGCTTTAGAAGAAAAGCAAAATGCAGA